AAACTCCGTATGTTATTGCTAGTCGGTTGTGTTTTAATACCAGAACTGCTACGTCTTAGACGCTGTCGCTAACATATACCATGCCTGAACTCAAGGGCGCATTTTTTATTTAAGTGGTGTATCCCAAGAATCTTATGTGTCATAGGATATATATCCAAGAATACAGGGTGGCCCACCACTCACTGACAACTTAAATAACTTTTGATCCAGTTAATATTTTTAGCTGATTTTTTTTTTAAATAATAGTTATACGTTAGGTCTATAGCTATATCTCAATAATTAATTTTTTTACATTTTATTAAAAATATTAATTATTTTTAAATTTTAAATAAAATGTAAAAAAAAAATCTAAGATAGCTATTTTGTAGAGTAGAATTTAAGAAAAATTTTAGTAAAAAAATATCTTATTAATATTCAGTAGTAAATATTCTGTAGCGTTTTGAAGTTTGTGAAAATTTGAATTTTCATGTACTATTTTACGGTATTAAACATTGAAATACGTATTGAGAAAAGGACAGAAGAAAACGCTATCTTTTCATGATTACTGTGTATACATATGATGATAATGTGTATACATTACAAACTTGACATTAATACCATGATAAGAAATTAGATAAGGCTATTATTACTTATCACTCTCATTCAAAAGTATATTTTTTGTTTCGTTTTAATAGTAAAAATGTAATTAAGTTATGATATAGCATTTAACAATAATAAATATTTAAATATGAATCAACAAAATATACTTCATTTATTTGATAACATAATATAATAGTTTAATGTAATACTAAATATAATTTTTATAAAAACTAATTGTAAAATTATAATTATAAATTGATGTATATAAAAACTTATGCCATATTAAAAAGTTTAGACACTTTTTGAACACTGTCTTGATATAATTTTACTAAGACATTATTGTCAGGTATTTCCTTTGAAATGATATCGTGCTCCCATAAGTCATCATTTATAAGAATAGCATAGTTTTTTTTTAAATGTGCAAGTTTTCTGCATTCTAATAATTGCGCTTTGTATTTTTCAATATTATTTTTTAGAATTGGTATACCATCAATGTTATTTATTACGTCATTTGGATAAATTTCCTTCAGAACATTCGAAATACAGTCGTATTAATACGATTAATAATTAAACAGTAAAAAAATATCTTATTAATATTGAGTAGTAAATATTCTGTAGCGTTTTGAAGTTTGTGAAAATTTGAATTTTCATGTAATATTTTACGGTATTAAACATTGAAATACGTATTGAGAAAAGGACAGANNNNTATTTTACGGTATTAAACATTGAAATACGTATTGAGAGAAGGACAGATGAATGAGAGTGATAAGTAATAATTGCCTTATCTAATTTCTTATCAAGGTATTAATGACAAGTTTGTAATGTATACACATTATCATCATATGTATACACAGTAATCATGAAAAGATAGCGTTTTCTTCTGTCCTTTTCTCAATACGTATTTCAATGTTTAATACCGTAAAATAGTACATGAAAATTCAAATTTTCACAAACTTCAAAACGCTACAGAATATTTACTACTCAATATTAATAAGATATTTTTTTACTAAAATTTTTCTTAAATTCTACTCTACAAAATAGCTATCTTAGATTTTTTTTTTACATTTTATTTAAAATTTAAAAATAATTAATATTTTTGATAAAATGTAAAAAAATTAATTTTTGAGATATAGCTATAGACCTAACGTATAACTATTATTTAAAAAAAAAATCAGCTAAAAATATTAACTGGATCAAAAGTTATTTAAGTTGTCAGTGAGTGGTGGGCCACCCTGTATATATCCTATAGATATATGCAGTATGTGTAGATATTAATTAAACATTTTTCTCTTAGTGCATACATTTTTTTTTTTTTTATTACAATTATTGTTAATTTAATGGAACTTAAAAGTATTTGGCTGAATGGATACTTTTATTTTTTTAATATTTCATTATTCTATGTTATATAATAGATATTATGAATTAGCTGTGATCGATAATGCTATATAAAACTAAATTATGATTTTTATTGAAATAAATCCCAAACAAATGGGAATGCTTTTTATAGTGATAACTTAAAAAAATTCTGCTTAGACATGAAGCACGTGTCCATAGTAGAAGGTCAAGGAAGACCGGGCCCGTACTCGTCTAGTTGCCCACAGCATTATTTAAGATCACACCAACAAAAAAAGAAAAGAAAAATGAATCATATGCTCTAGACAGTTCTTTAAACTGATGCATTTGCATAGCGACGGAAGACCGTCTCTTATGTCTATTTTTAATAAGTTTTCTTCTATTTTTACTTTTGTCTGTAGGCTACACGAATATTAGTTATATTAGTATACAAAAATGTTTTCGACACTTAAAATTGACTTTAAAATATAATCAAAACCTCTACATTTAATTTGTGTATAAATAAAAAAAAAAAAAATTCCCGACGATTTATTGCTTATGTGCTATATGCTTTTTGTATGGAAATCCAGACTTTATAAATTATATTTTTAAATTAATATTGCCATAACTTTTTGAAAAATGTAATAATGAAAAAATGTAAAAATGAAAAATACAATTATTTTTGTAAGCCTCTTACGTAAGTCTCTTTAAATCGACATACTTTTTTGCTAATTTCACCTATTCCCTTTATGAAAAATGATTATTATTTTATAAATGTACAAAAATTCTATGATTTAGCATAAACAAATGATGAAACATGTTACCCTAGCCATCAACTTTGTCAAGTTCAATTATATTTGAGTTGTATTGCGAGCTGGAAGTGTACTAAAAAAATTCCTTTAAATTTGCTGTAAACATTATGTATGAAATCATAATCATTCAACTTGAATACAATGCCAAGGAATGAGAAGAACTTGTTAATAATTCCTGAAAAGGATCACTAAAAATCAATCAACATGAATATCATTGATTTATGGAAGTTTTATGCAAAAAAAATAGGCGTAGCTGAATTTCAAAGTAATGATCGTTGTGAAAAACTTAAATCATTTGTTAGAAAAACTTGAAGGCACGCTTGTCCCAAATTCCGTTGAAGACAAAATTAAAGGATGTTCTAACATACCAATATACATGAAACCCATTAAAAAGTAATATAGGGCTTTGTACAGTAAAGAAATTGGTTATGACGATATTATGAGATATGTAAATGTTCTCTGAAAAATCATATAAGATAACGTTGGATTTTATTGATTGTGCTAATAAACATTTAGAAAATGATGTTATAACATCACAGGATATAAAGCAGATATAAGAAAGAATTGATGCATCTTTTAGAGTTGGATGACTACCAAAAACCTTGTACTCTGTCTAATGAAAATGTCATTAGATTTTTTTTATTAACATTCTTTTATAACCAGCATATCCAACAAAAAATTGAAGAAAGAGTCTTCAATATGACGTTTAAGCGCGTAAAACAACTTTAAACAAAAAAGTTGTTTAGACAAATTAATTATTAGGTCGATAAAAACTAAGTGAAAAGTATAGTATCTGATAAATAGAATTAGATTTATCTTTTTTTTCTTTATAATAGTAGATGTTGACGAGTATTGTAACCCAGTGGTCATTTTAAGTTCTTCTTATAAGAATTTCGCAAATTATAACTAACTGCCTTGACTAATGACAGTTAAGTTTAATTATTAATTGTCATGGTTTTCAATAAGTATAATTTTATGTTTTTATAAAATCTTTTTTGTGTACTTTAGAGCTCAATGTAAGAGTGAATTTTTATTTAAATAACCATGTGAATAGAATTGAAATATATTATTCTTATGCGCTCTAATTTTGGAGATCTCATATTTTGAAAATGTAGTATGGACGTCTTAAATATCTATAGTTCATAAAATAATAATTTCGGTAGAAAATTACTTCTTTGAACTACCGTAAAAATATTCAAAAATGTTGTTTTTGGCTTTATTTTAATATGTACGTGGTTAACGCAAACGTATTTATGACAATACAAGCTGTCCTCATAATTTTCGGTCTAATATTTTATGGCATTTAATTAAAATGCTACAGGTATCATCACTAGTAGAAGTGATCTATAGTTACAAGAATTTTATGTCTAACCAAATCGTGTGTTAGTGGGATAAGAAATAATATGAATCCATTACATCAAATAAATGGTATTATTAGTTTTAACCGCAGAATAAGGCCCAAGGGTGTTTATAATTTTAAGCCGTTTCATTGTTATTATTATTGTTTTCAAAAGTTTATTACTCTCGTAGTAAATATGCAATAAATATTGGTACATAAGTAAAGCTGACATGATTTATACGATCATAGTGTAGGCTACGATATAGTGACGATAATAAAAGCAAAAATCAAAGTAAATAGTATAAAACGTATCCTGGTGGAATGATTCTTTTCAATATTAAAACACCAATGTATATAAATAGTGTTTCAATCGAATATAATTATAAAACTAAAATCAATTCTGATATTTGTGACTTGTTTAGCTACTTGACTAGTTATATATTGGATATTCCTAGTACTTTATCTATTAAAAGTGTGTATAGAATATATTGCTTAGTTTTATCTTGTTGATGATACTCGTTAACAAATTTACAACGTAGTAAAGAAGTCTAATGACTATATTTTTATTATAAATAATTTTAATATTAACATATTAGCCATATTAGTATTGAGCGATATCTATCATATGCTTTTAATATAAATAAAAGATGTTTATTAGAAATATTATAAAATATCTAAATTATTATTTACAATAAAGTATTTGAAATAAATAATATTATTAATTAATTATTTAAAATAATTTATGTTTTTAATTATTTTATAATTGGTTAAAGCATTACTTTATTCTGGAAAATTAGTCAACATTTATGAAATAATAAAAAAAAAACATAATTTATTAATCTCAATACGTTATAAAGAGAAAACTTTAATATTGAATAAAGTTTGACTTTTCATTTTAGATGTTTTTGCTCATAATTTATTTTTATATTTTGTTTTAGAAGATTGTGAAATCAAAAACCTCAACGAAGATTATCATAGACTACGTGGTGGTTAGTTTTTTTCAAAACGACCTAACATAAAAAGTGAAGGTGAGAAGTAAACATATTATTACTTAAACTATTATATGAACTTTAAAGTCATGGGAATACATAGACATAAATTATTTGTCTTTATTGAAACAAAGAAGGCTAATTTATATATTTATAATTCAGTCAATAGTACTTAGTGTTGGAATCAATCGACATTAAATTTTACAATTTTTGAAAAAAATTCATGTGGCATATGATATGTTATAATAATAATAAAATAGGAATGTTTAATTAATGAATGACTTTGTAAAAACAATACAAAACTATTTCAAAATACTTAACTGTAAATTAATTAAGAAGTACCAATTTACAAATCAATTTAGAATATTTGTAGTTATTAAAATCCGAATACGAATAAATAGGAAATAAAGTTTTAAATCTTCGGAAAATTATGAGAATTTACAATCTGAAATCAAGAGTTCATAAATATTAGAATAATAAAAGTGACATGTACAACCTCTGAAGAACACAATAGTAGCAAAAAGCTCAAGAAATAATATATTTATAATTTTAATTTTTTGTGGTTTGTTAGATAAAAAGCTATAAATCCATGATGGTAAAGGATCACACAAACACCATAAAATTGAAGCTTTTATATTATTAATATAAAATTTTATATGGACGTATGGGAATTTTTGGATTATTTCTCATAGTGTATGATTAATTTTGTTATTAATAATAATGAACATTTACGTAATGACAAATTTTATTTTTATTTTCTGAGCTCTCAAAACTCAAACTTGGTGTTATTTGTTTTAGCTCTTTTAATTTGTTTGATAAAAAAAATGTATTTTTTTTAATTTGTAGAATTAATAGAATAACTATGATGTTATTTATTTAATGATATTATTTTTGATAAACTCGTTATACTTAATGTAATAATAAAGAAATAATAATTTAATATTAAATACTTTGTTATTGTATAAGTTCGTGTCAAACAAAGAATTTAGTCTAGAATTGTTCTAGACTTAATTAGCTGTTAAAGTTGTTATTTATGTAACATTGAGTTAGTTGCACGCGTCATCATTATTAAGCATCGTGACTCGAGTTTGTTTATGAACTCGAGTATAAATCCGCTACTTAACAGAATACAAGACTATAGGACACAGGGGTATGGATGAATGCAATAACTTTGATTGTACACGATTTGGTTTCTTCTCGCCGTGTTCCTATTAATGAGATTCGACGGGGTCTATTTAGCTTGTGTCTAACTTCAGAGAAAGTTCAAATTAATTTTTTGGTTATAGGGACCTCTTTATGAGATAAATCGTGTTAAATATCAGGAAGGTTAAAAGTTAATGGTATCGCTGATTACAAAATGTAATTTCAAGCACACCATTGGGAATTTTGAATGAAAATTTTGAGTTAAATCTAACTAATGACGAAACAACTAAAATGTAAAAAAAAAATGGACACTTTTTATTTTATTTGGTTTTTTTTTGTTGCAACTAATAATTTCAATAAAATCGCGTGGGTGGTACCGTAAGATCTATTGTTGTAGAGCTCGTTGCCGTCATCTATGATGTTGTAATAACTCTCAAGTTTTGATGATAATAACATCACGTCCTAAGTCGCGGTCTAAATTATAATGTTTTGTTGTTACTTTGATATTGTACCTACTAGTGCAATGATACATATTTGCTATACGTCTTTCTATCAATCATTATTTGATAAATCGCATAATATAAAAGTAGAAATAAATCCTAGCTATGAACAATAATCAGTATTCATAATTGAAAATAATAATAATAGAACACTCCAAATCGGATAAATCCGTTAACAGATAGAAACCAATGAATTGTGTTATTATAATTTCTGTACCTTAAGCCAAACTATAATAACAATTTAACTTAAATAACGTTTTTCTTTTGTTCATATAATTTGATCAGGTTATTTTTGAAATAAATTAATGCTACTTATTAAGTTTAATAAATTGTAACAAATTAACATTAAAAATAAACAATAAAAGGTATTGATTAGGCATTTATAAAGACTTTGTAGCATTCGCGTCAGCTTTATCGCCGTTTTTCAGTTGCAAGAAAGTCCGTTGGTTATCGCTGTTTGTTAACTTTTATTTAAAAAAAATATAATATAATGTACTTTTTATTTAATGAGATAGATAGTAATACTTGTAAACCTTTTTATGTTACATATCAGTCCAAACGGAAACCCGCAATTTAAATAAGATATAAAAATGCACATTTATTTATTACAAAATATTAAAAAATATAATGATCATTAAACGATTAATCTACACTACCCAAGTGGTAGTTAATCGGTATAAGGTACTCCCTTGCTGTTTTTCTTAATTATCTTTTGTTTTCTTTCTCTCAATCATGCTTAGAATTATTCTAGTGGTCGTGATTTTTATTGCCAAATAGATTAATATTGCATATACACCGCTCTGTAGGCTAAGTTCCTTTTAATTTCTATCCTAAAATTTTATTTTCTTAATAAAAAAAAATGTTCTACGGTCCTTGTAACTTCATTGATTTATCGTTACCCCACCGTGGTCAGTTTTATATATTAAAATTCTTTTCTAAAAAATTTAGTTTAATCTTTAATGGTGATCATAACCTTCGTGTTATCAACCTTGATCAAGATTACTGGCTTTTCCTAATAATCCTTTAAATCTTTTGCAACGGAGCTCGTAACAACGCGTTACCAACCGTGAACCAAAGGGTTATACTTCTCTCTTTACCTAAATTAATTGGTTCCTAAAGTAAGACTGACATGATAGATAGTTGTTTAGTATAGACATATTTGTTTCTTTTAAAATAAAACAAAAATAAGTTGATTATTTGAACAAAATTGTGTTGTGAATTCGTATTATCTGTAAATTTAAGTTAAGTAATGTAAACTCAAAATATTACAAATTTAGAAACGTTTCAAGTTGCATTTATCATAAAACCAAGTATAGTAATCACAAACACCGAGTTGACTTTTTTTTCATATATATAGTAGTAAACGTTTTTTTGTAACTATAAAAGTTAAAAATTAACAAATAATTTTTTTATCTAATTACTTCAAATATATTATTAGCACCGAATAATATGTTAATTGTTATCTTTTTTTGTTCCAGATCAACTCGGCTCATTGAATGATTGACAAAACTATATATGTATACTTACAAAATAATAATCTGGATGGGAATTCGCTAGTGTAAGTATATACTAACAATAGATTAAAATGTTTAAGCAATTAAATTGTTTTACGATATTACGTTTAATTAAAAGTAATAGATTTGGTGGCATGTTAACGATGTAGGTCCTTATCCTTAGATATATCATTCAATATTTTGTATAATTAACTCACAAAAAGTGTTTTATTAAATTGATTTGTTTTTAGGACATTTTATGACAAAAAAGTCTGCAAGATTTTAACTTTTTTTATTTTTTGTAATAGTTTGAATAAACTCGTTTAATAATTTGTGTATAACCAATGAACATAATTCAGTATAGATAATGATTTTAATAAAGAATTTTATTTTTATTCTTATATCTGGATATTTGTATATTCGTAACTAGTATAAGTATAAGTAAAAAGTATGAGAATTAAAATTAAATACATAGCTTTATATCATAATTAACAATTAATTAGATACTTTGAATATAAAATGATCGTCTGTAGAAGTATAAAACGATAGGTAATAATTATAAATTCAATGAGTAATAACGAAAAGTGATTTTTAAGTAGTTTTTTAATTGTTATCTTAAACACATCAGTAAATTTTCGTATCTATTATTTTTCATAAATTAACCGGAAACAGAAGTTCCCATATTTGTGTCAATTTCGAGGTTATCAATGTGAGACCTCGGCTTTCTATCAGATCACATAAATTAAATATAATAAAACCGGCCCATTCGCACAATAAAATATTGCACGCAATTACTTTACTAACCATTTCTCAGACCATGTCGAATGCATTAACAAAATTATAGTGTTTTACACACTAAAGTAAGTTCGCTTAATTTAATATGTGTAAAAAATCAATATCTAATAAATTGCAATAATTTTGGATTTTTGTAAAAATTATTTCTGCCTCTTTACAATTATTCGTTTGTAATGGCTTTTATATTATTTATGTGAAACTATTAGGGCTTCATATTTACTGAAATAGGACCTTCTGTACTTAAAAACTCTTGTAAGTACTAATCAACGACAGAATTTAGAAAACTCTCAAGAAAATGTGTTCTTAACGGCGAGGCTGGTATGGGTTAATGAAAAATATTATTCGGTTAAAGTTTGAAAGCTTCTTTCAAGGGCATACTTTGCATATTATTTACACTCACATTTTATCAGAATTTTTTTTTTTATTTTTCCTAGCTGAATTTGAATTTGAATTAATTAAATTTTTACACAATCCATAGTTATAAATCTCAATGTTTCATAGTAATTATTTGGCGATAATTTGTATACATAAATTAGACTCGAATTTCTAAAACATTATAATTTTATTTTGTTATAGGTTGGAACTATGAACTATAATTTTTAAAGTTTGATAGATATGCCTTAATGTTATTTTAGAAAGAATCTTTAGTGTTACTTTTTATTAATTAATTATAGTTAATGTTTAAGTAATAAAATTTTATTATACTTTTACAGTTATTACCAAGTAATACTAATAATAATTATATTAAATAATACAGCTGATGTAAACAGTATAAACAACAATAAAAAAATATTTTTTTCATATAAAACAGTCTTCCCCATTGTGTGAAAGTGACACGTGAGCCTATGTATGAAGTATGCGTAATTGGCCATTTGTACTAAAATTTGTTTTGAATCTCCTGTATAACATTTAATTAGTAACAGTGAAAGTGAAATATTTTTTCTGCGAGTTTGGGAAATTTGCAAAGAACCTTTTCCTTTTTTACTAATTTATTTCACACATTAAACATCTGTGTGAATCTGTGATTTGATGTCATCACTTACATAACTGAAAAACTTCAATAGAAAAAGGTTCTCAGGTCTTACACGTTTGAGCAATTTAGTCACAAGATGAGAACTGTGGATCACATATTTTAGTTAGATGTTAAAAGTTTTCGACGTAATAACATACAAAATATACTCTAAATAATTGAAATAATAAACTTGGTTATAAGAACGGGGTTTATTTTAAATGACTACTAAGATTATTAATTTTTGAAACTAAAATGAAACTAAAAATCGTCTTAATATAAGTTTCATTTATATTTTAATTACAAATCTATTCTGTCAAAAAAATATAAAGAACCATTGATTATTATTGATTTTGAAATGATCTATTACGATAAAAAAAATAATTAAAAACAAATAAAAATTGCTTACAAATTATTACTGATTTTGATTTATAATATGTTAAAAGTAATTAGTGCAAAATATCATTTTTAACCTATTTTTTTGTCTTTTAAAGTTGATTTTATGAAAGTTTATAGTAAAAAAAAAGTTGAATTTGTTTCCATAACTCAATTAGCTCAACTTCAAGTTTGAAATTTTCATTATTAAATAGAAAATTTTACGAGAATTAAAAAGATAGTATTGTTAAGATTAATACGCATTCAGCAAATTGTATAATTATTATTTATCAGAAAAGCTAAATATATTTTTTGCATTTTCATTGTAATAGATCACTTAAATAGAAATCATAGTAATCATTTTTAAGTAACTTATTGTGTATAAAAAGATTCTATAATTAAAATATTCAGGACTTAATTAATTTTAATGATTTACTATAACTAAAAAAACCAATCAAAATGTTGTTAAAAAAATCTACTCAATTGAGCGTATTATAAAATTTGATTACAATTGTAAATTTTTTTTGTTAAATTCATGTGAAACTAGAAATAATTTTTTTTAGATTTATGATTTATATTCCAACATAACTTAATTCGACAAAAAATACTTTAAAAACATTAGAAATTAATAATATTAATTGTCTATATAGAGAATGTGGACTAGGTAACTTTTTAATTGATATAGTATAATTTTTTTCAATTTTTGAGAGTTATATCTTTAACTAGATAATAATTATAATCATTTGATGTATCGCTAAAAAAAGTTGGTCAAGTAAGAGCTGAGAAAATAAATGAGAGCCACAAAAAAAAAATCACTTAGTAAAATGATTTTTATATATATAAGAAATTTCTTCAAACTAGGGGAGACTACAGTGATGGGGTCCTTGATTTTCATTGAAGTTATTGAATCTAAATGAGAGAAATATTAGTTGAGTTAAAAAAATTTTTCTAACTCAAAAACTTTATTAAGGTATTAAAAAATAAAATAAACTAAAAATCAAGAATTTCAACACAAAAGTAGCATATTTTTGAATACAGTAACCATTATCACTATGAAGACAAAATAAAGTCCGAAATTTTTTTTTTTCATATTAAATTATATTACATAAGCTTCAATTTAAGATATATATATAAACGTGTCAGTATTTCCGTAACACATTCAAAAGTTAATTTTTTGTAAAAAATTTTTCATTTTAAATCCCCCCTTTTATGCAGATAAAGGGTCAAATTTATAAAAAATGATAAGTAAATATCTCATGGATATAAAAATATATGTATTATCAATATATATATATATATATTGATTTGGAAATTTTTTTAAATTTATGACAGTTTTATGTAAAAAAATTGAAAAAATGTCAAAAATTAGCGATATTTAAATTTGTAATTTTTTTGGAGATTATGGGGATCGAAGGAAATGTTTTCAATTTTTGAGGGTAATGTCTTTAACTAGATACGATTTGTGATCTTTTTACGTATCGTTGAAAGAAATCGGTTTGGTAAGAGCTGAGAAAAAGTGGTAACAGACACAAAAAAAAACACATCATAATAAATTTAATACCTTCTCAGCTTCGCATCGAAGCTAAAAAGTTAATTATGATAAAATATTCAATTATGTAGTACCAATTCAGATCTAAAAATGATTTTGACGTATCAATGTATAATATGACATGAATAAATAATAATATAAAATATGAAGTATGGGTTACACGGTTTTCAAAGTACAATTTGTTACAAAATATTACCTTGATCATATTATTACGCCTATAAAATTATCCACAGCAGTTAAAATCATTTAATTTTACACAAAAAAAAAGTCAATTGCTGATTATAGATAGTTTGTATTATTGGTAGTCTGTTTCAAAATGATTCAAAACATTCCAAAAGAAAGATAACATGCAGGACATAAAATACATATTTTTGTATAATATTTATTTAATGTATATTAATAATTAGAACTTTTATTATTATTCTCACCGTAGTAGAAATAAGACAATATGGTTTCTTTATGAATTACAAGTGCGTATCCTCTATCATTCAAAAATGGCCGTTTTCGCATAGGATAGAACCCAACCCATTATTTGAAAAATAATCGTATGACTTTTTTTAAGAATTTCCCTAATTTCATATCCCTTTTCATTAAAAAATTCTCCAAAATCCTGTATTCAAAACATTTTATTTTAGGATTTTATATTTTAGAGCAATTGTTTTAAATGAATTTCCCAAAACTTTTAAATAATTTGTGTGTACTCTATATATATGTTTGATGTTATCCTCAAGGGACACTATTTAGCCTTTATATAGACTCAATAAAAGATAAAAATGTAGGTACTTAATTAATAGGGCATTGATTAAAATCTATTTTTAATTTTGTTAAGTTATTCATTGGCCACTACTCATTTTTATTGATTGGTTCGAATATTTTGTATGAGTTGTTACTGTGGTTATAGTTTTAGGGAGATTTAGAAGAATATATTTTGATATCCTAATATCGAAATATATTTATGCTCCTATATATCCCTACAATAAAGTAGCATAAACTTGAAATACTTCAAAGAGGCTCAAACAAAATTTATAAATGCATTTAAATTCGGGCTCCCTTAATAATGTTTTATTATATATTTTTTTATAGAATCAAAAAGAAATAAAAGCATTATTATGTAGTTTGATGGTTCGTAGTTCCTGATATCATTAGTTTTCGTATGTTTATGACAATTTTTGTAATGCCAAAATCTGTCATGACGACAATAATAAAGTTTTGTAATACTCGCGTGTGGTACATAATCCAGCCTCTAATGTGTTACTGACAAGGGCAATTCTTTTTCCAAGGATGGTATGCACGTTTTCTCTGTGATAATACAATAAAATACTCATATGGATGGCTAA